GGACCATAGAAAACTACTGGAGTGGTGAAAGTACAAGGTTGAGTTCCAAAATCAGATACGGTAGAGTCTACTGACAAGATCGATAAGGTAGACTTGATAATCGTTCGTATATTCTGAAACGGCCTGCTACCGAGTACCGTGCAGCACCAAGCGTCACTCTCTATACAGGAGTTAGAGGAAATGGCGAAAAGTACTCAGTGACCGGTGACTTGCTTAAATATCCGTCATCCCTCCAGCGGCAGCCAACAGCACGCATATCCTGAAATACATGCCAGTTATGCATGCTGTTTACCCTTTGTCTAGATGGGATCATTTTTCACGGTCAAACTCCTTGCGCACAGAGAATAATGAATGAGACGATATGAGATGGGCTTGGGAGCGCTTATGTCATCTCAGTGGCACGCAGCAGATTCCTGGCCGTTGAATCGTTTTAAGAGGGCGTATAGGGTCAACTTTGACGCAGCGGATCATGCACGGTTGTGTCATAGTTTTCGTACGAAGTCATGCACTGTATTTGTCATTAATCCATTCACGTTCGTAGCTCGCTGTCCCTTTTTGGTCCCCTGAACATCAGTTTCAAGAGCTATTCGAATGATGCTGGCTCTTTCTCTAAACAGAGAGGTTCCATGGACGATGATGCGAGATATTCAACGCAATGCACTGCTATAAAAACAAATACCCCTAAAATTCTAGGCTTGCTAACAAAAGCCAATTTTCTGATGCCACAGGTCAGCGTAACTTAGGCATAATCCCAGCGTACTATTGTTCCTAACCGTTCACAGGAAACCTTTTAAACAGCTTACTACTTCACTAGGCTAATGCATTGATGTCAAACAGCGTCACGATGTTTGGCTGAACGAGTGTGTAATGTTTTGCTTCTTATTTGCTTTATCCGTCAAAGAGTGACGCAGCGAATAGAACCTAGTTCAAGGGATCCGCTTGCCAACGGTAATAAACACCTGAACATCATTTATCTTCGTAGCAGAACTTGATTATCAGCATTACTGTAGTCTTCTTTCGCCGTGCTACCGTAACTCTGCGACGCTTGTTTAGGAATCAACGTGAAGACGGTGTTAGCAGAGGCGTGTGCGGCTGGCTGTACAGATCAGTCGAAACGGACGAACTCGCTGAAACTGCTCTCCCGTTACGTAGAAGACTGTCTGTCACTACAGTCGTCGTCGTCGAAGGCCGAACACTTTCAGGTGCTGTGCGTAAAGTTCGGTCGAACGCACGGAAACTACCTGACCTGTCTGTACATCATGGTCAAGCTGCTGTACATGATCAACGTCTGCGGCCAGTTCTTCCTCATGAATGACTTCCTGAGCACCAACTACACGTTCTGGGGACTGCAGATATTGACCGACCTGGCCAACAAGCGCGAATGGCAGGACAGCGGTCACTTTCCCAGGGTTACACTGTAAGCGTTGCCTTGAGCAGAGCCTTTCTGTACTGTTTCGTCCTGTACACGCAACTGACCGCTGATTGCAGGTGTGACTTCGACGTCAGAGAGCTGGGCAACGTCCATCGCCACACCGTACAGTGCGTACTGGTCATCAACATGTTCAACGAGAAGCTCTACCTGCTGCTGTGGTTTTGGATGTTTCTCATCGGCGTATGCACCGGCATTAACTTGCTCTACTGGCTGCTCAGCTCGTTCTCGAGCTACTCGCGCCAAAACGTCGTTCAAAAGTACCTAAGAATCGTGACCGACTACGAGCAAACGACGGAATCGAGACGAGCCATTCACCAATTCGTAGACCACATGCTCCGACCTGACGGCGTGCTTCTGCTGCGCTTCATCAGTGGCCACGCTGGTGACCTGGTGGCCGCAGAACTTTCGATGCAACTGTACAAGTAATCGTCTTCTTGACAATGCCCAAATGCTCCTGGTACCTTGTCAGATATTTGCGCCGAGAATCGAGTAACCGTTTCTACAAAAGCCCGTCTGTACTTGCCTGCGTTAGGGTCGGCGTTGCTGCATTAATGGGAACAGTTGTTGCAACAAGGGAGCAAGAACGACGGCTGAATTGCATGCAACAACTTTGGCTGTGATCATTGAGGGTTTATGGTAGGACCATGTGAGGAAACGACTCTATTTTCTCTTGGCACAAATTTCCCCTTTCTATCAGGCAGTGGCTGCTCAGTCGCCAGAGCTCTGATTCAGAATCGAATCGAGATGTTCCGAGACCAAGCTCCGATCAGGTCACTCGCCTTTGTTACCTCAGTGGTTCATAAATGAGTACCACTGTGTGGGAAAGATCCAGAAGACTGCACACTATGCTTAGCATGGTTGCTGTCGACTTCGTGTTTAAAAAATAACTCGCTTCCTGGCTGATAATATGGAAATGCATATCCGCCTCCTACTATTAACTTTATCAATGGAAAGCACCAGAAATGGCCCAATCGTGAAAATGTAGAGAAAATCGATATTCCAACAGTCTTAGGACATCCTGCAGCCAGACTTACTGTCGCGTAACATTATTTCGTTTGGGAAGCAGCAAACCATGTCGGAGCTTGTCACCTCAGAAATTATTAGTTTGAGTCTTGCATCCCGTATGAGATACAGCCAAAAATGATGCTGATGAATATACCCTACTTTATGCCTTTATGGCAGCCGTGAAACCTTACTATGAACAGTATGGCGGCCGGTTAATAAAAAGTTGATATCTATTGGATGATCGATCTTCTAATGCTTTTGAATACAAAGTCAAAATAAAAATTGTTCATCTTAATCTCAAGAGAGAGTATGAGTCAAGTCTGTTATTAATATTTTCTATCTTCTGAACGGAGGACAATTTTTTGTATGTACGTATGTATGTGACTACGTATTTCAGAGAGGTATACGGTTAGTGGGGCTGGTCGCTTTTGATTGGTGTACTTTATTCTGGTTTATGCGAAAAAATTTTCCCTGATTTCTCTGTCCATTTGAGTTTTAATGGTATCCGCTTCCTTACCATATGTTTATGTGTACGCTTGTTTGGGCCAACCAGTAGAAGCATTAGCTGACCCCTCCCCTCCCACGGCTCCGTTTGAGCAGTTGTAGTAGATAATTATAATTTGCTATGTATATCTCTGACTAACTCAACATGAATAGTGTGAAAACTACGTCTCCTCCTCAGTCGTTTCCTCGTCTCTCTCCAGTTTCATTGGCACCGCAACAGTGTCGTGTTTGTCCTTTTCCTTTTAGTCCTTTCTGAGTAATCGTTCCCACAGATATATGTTCGTCGTATACGGCCTGGTATTCCATTTGTCTGTCTAGTTCATATCTTTTGTAGAAGCGTTAGAATGATCGTTTTAATATCAACCCAGTAACACGTTTTTAATGATTTTTTCTCCGTGTAGTCTTTGGCAAGAGATCGCTACTGGATCAAGGGGTGTTACTAATTCTCTCTTTATTCTTTCTACCACAACCAGGAATATAGATAGTCATAGAAATAACAACCTGTTTTAGAGAATTGATGCTCCGTATTTTAGGCGCTACCTCGAAAGATACCAAACTTTGGCTGTAGCGGGCAAAAATGGCATAGACAAGAATTCACTACCGTCTTTTAACGGCTTACTGTATGAGGTGGATGGTAGATGCTCAGACGGCAACGTAAGCGAGTCGCAAGCTGCTCTGCTGCCAACGGCTCCACCGAAGATAGAATCGAACCAGGACACCATCAAGCTGCAATCTGGCTACCCTGGTCCTCCGTCGGTACCGCCTAAACCTCCAAAGTTGTGTCTCGAATGAGGATCGTTAAGACGACCGACCTCTTACCGATTTCAAGAATACTGTTGTCTTTTTCGTAAACGGGATTCGGTACTCAGGCAGTTTATCTGTACATGTCAAACGCATTTGTTGAATGTTTTTAAGCTGGTTTTGGTTTGAAATCTGTAACCACTTAATAATTTGGCTATGAAGTGTGCCAGTTTTGGTTATTTGTCGATACTTTCTGTTTAACATAGAGTTTCTCTATTGTCGGTGGTTCGAAAGCGGCTTTTAAGTGACCTATCTACTTATTATTTACTTTCCTCAAAGATTTTTTATCTTCGTGCTTTTCGTTTGTTTTTAGCATCGACAAGAAAAGCAGCAACCAGGTATTCGTTTTTAGATCTGTATGTAGAGTACTTTACGCTATTCGATCTGAATATAGTTTTAACTTACTTTCGCTTTAATTTGTTGCTGTAGAGATAAATTTGGAAAATAAAATTAAAAGTTTCACGCATATTGGTTAGCGAGTGAAATTATACCTGTGGAGTACTGCCCCTGCTTCTCCGGATTGAGAAATCACAGAACCGATGGTTTGGGTACGTTTTGCAAAACACTCACTATTTGCTCAGCCGATCGGCCGCAGACCTGGACAACGGTCATGAATGACCTGGACCAGTTGTTTCGAAGGACACTGTTCCGTGCCCCGGCTATCTTATGCTGAAGGTCAAACGCTGGTACGGAGTCGCAAACGTTGCCTAGGTGTCTGACGCTCCTGCCTCCAAGAGTCGGAAGAAGTGTAAGCGGCATCGAAATTTACTGACTGACCATGCCTTTCATGAAAATTGCTCTTCATGCAATGGTAAGGTCGGGTGATCGGTCCACTTGCTGTTTTGCTTTCATAAATGGATTTTACGGCAAACAGGCGGAGCATAACAGATATTTTGTTAATAGGTTGGGTTGCCCAAGAAACTGGGAAATAAGGCATGGGTGGATTCGTTTGAGCGATATCCTATGAGGTATTTAACTTTCAGCCAGTACTCATGTTTGCATTAGTCTTAAGGATATATGACTCCAGGCAGTTGGTGAGGCGGATCAGCTCGTTTGCAGTCAGATGACTCATGAGTTGCGAAGCAATGGACGACTACCACGCTGAGCCAAACGATTCAGTGAATCCTATGACGTAGTTTTGTAAACGGTGCCACTTTTGTTGCACTATCACCGAAGTAGTTTAAATCCAGTACTCGATACCGTGTAAACTTGGCGTAAACTCCTCCAATACCATATTTCACTACACGGAGCATCGTCCCTTTGCTCCTATTTGACTGTAAGATGGGGGGGGGGTAAGAGAATATTTGAGCGAACCATGTGCTGTGGTATTCGAGGACCTGCAATGCCAGATACATCTCGTACAGAGCATATAAGGAATGTCAGCTTCTGAAACGTCTTCGATAATGAAAACCCTAGTGAACAAAACTGGCCCTGCTGCCGGTGCTCACACACAATGCAGTGGTGGTTTGCTTAAATACCACCGCCCGTCCTGACAATTACGAGCAACACGAGGTGCAATACGCAGAGTAACAGAAATTGAAATCGTGTGAATCCGTACGTTTTCAGATATGATAATATCGCAGTTTGAAATTTGAAGACTGTTTTATTTATCCTGCATACTTGTGCTACCCTTCTTGAAAAAGTGCAAAGCAAAGGCGTTGCTGATTCATGGTTAATGGGCCAAATAAAACATGTTAACAATTAGTGTAAACGAGTTTTGCTTCATCTTCCTTAGTATCTTAGCATCCTACTGATTTTCAGGCAGTTATGCCT